GCGGTCGACTACATGGGAGTCCAGCGACATAGCCATTACGCTAACTGCTGGTCCCAAACATATACATAATTTTAAGATAAGTCTTTCAAAGGCTGAAAATAAGAATTGAAGAGAGTTAAAAGCTGGGGCCACAGTTAGAGCTTTGGGAATCTGTTATTATAAGGATATTAGAAGCCACGCTGTTTGTTTACTCCTAATAAGCAGCATTCTTTTCCTAAACAATAAAGAGATTTATCATCAAAAGCTTCCAAGTAGTCTGGCTTGCAGAGAAGTGTCTTTTCTCTCTTCTCTTTGACCATTAGACACTCTTTGACTCCCTTTTTAAAAGCTTCATGGTGATTTACTTTTTCAGTGGTGGTTTGTTGAGTCATAAAATTAAATTCACCATCCTGAATTATGAACCAGTTCAGTATGCAAAAATCTTGGGTAGTTTTTGCCAAAAAAAAAAAAATTGCACAAACTTGGATTATTTATCTAAAAACAATTCTTGGAATAAGCTAGCCATTTGCAGAGAGCCAATTTTCTTCTGTGGTGGATTTTCTAAAACCTGAGAAAGTAAGTAGCTTATTTAATTATTTTCCCCTGGTCTGATGATGTGTGAAGGATTGCTTACTGAATGTAACTTTACTGAGTGTTTTTGCTCCTAAATAAAAATTGTGACATGTTGTTGTACTCTGTGTTAGTTCTAAACCACAGAGGAGCTAAAAGTTCAAGTGGGCTCATCAACATACAACTCGGAATCCTCAATTCTACAACCGAGAGCAATTGTGGATTAGTCACCCCTGATTTTCTAGATGACGGAAGTGAGATCATGGCAGCTCCCGCTTTCATCAAGGAGAACTAGATTTACTGTCTTCTGGCTGTAGCTAGTATTGTGCCTTCCAGAGGCAAGAACAGCTGCAGGGAGGGCTTAGCAAACTAGCAAACTAGACCTGGGGGCCAGATCTGACCCAAACCCTGATTTCTTTGACCTACCCAGTGTTTCAGAAGTTGAGCTTGCTATACTTTTTTTTAAAAAAAATTATTTATTTTTTATTATTTTTAAATTTGTTATAGGGCATGTGCACTCATGAGAAAGAGGGAGGTAAGAGAGAAAGAAAGAAAGAAAGCCACCAGGTCCAGGACTCGAACCACAGTCGGCCACGTGGGAGTCCAGCACCTCAACCACCAGGCCACCTGCTGGCCTAGCTATACCTTTTAAAATCAGGCGGTTGGTTCTCTGGAACTCCAAAGCCTTTGTGGCCAGAGATGCAGGCAGCTCCTTTGGAATGTTCAGTTTACCAGTCCTCATTACTTGCTAATATCTGAAAACCTCCTGCCTCACTCATTTCCATCACCTCTGGGCCTCTCTGGGTCTTGGGGTTTGTGACCCCTTTTCTAGAGCATTTCCCAGCTTACATCCTGGGAAAGCAAAGACCTGGCCCTGCATCACAGGGAGTAAGAATATCCTTGCAGATAGATGTGGCCAGTGCTCAGACTGCAGGGGCATTCCTCAGTTGCCCTTTTAACCTCTCTTCCTTTCTCCAGCCCTGCCTATCTGCCCTCCTCTGAATCTGCATCCTTTTGCTCACTTCTTGTCCACCTTCTTCCCATCTAACAGTCAGATCAGGCGATGGGCGTGTAGGCAGTGGGGAAGTGGTACACCAATGGGCTGAGGTCACAAGGTCAGGTAGGACAGATCTAAGGTTAGAGCCCAAAATGACCTTGTTGATGTCAGTCAGCACACCTGGATGTCATTGTAACTTCTGGTGGATGGTCTCGAAAGCCTCGTCCTCTAGGAGTTGGTAAGAGCAAGACACAGGGAAACAGACGTGGGTGTAAAACACACTGCTCTGCGAGGCCGAGGGTTCCTGAGTTGTGTCCTGAGACCTTCCTCAGAATGCCAGGCATGCATGTGCCCATGACCCAAGGCTGGCTGGGGGAATGGGTGGATCGTGGTATCTGTCTCTGTTACTCAGGGAAAAAAAATAAATGCATCAACTTAGAAAATAAAAATCAAGACAGAAAAGCTAAGGAATCTCGGCAACCTCAGAATCTTGCCCCCAAATAACCTTTCCACTGATTTGATCACAAGCTTCTGTATTAGGAACAATTGCTTCTTCTAAAGATTTCCATTCTTCAGAATGGTTTCTTGTTTCAGAGTCCTCTCCAGAGGAAGTGGTATGAGAGCCAGAATGGAGACAGATGTTTCCTATTGGATGTGAATTGGAAAAAGCATTTGTGATCAAAGAAATGCCTCCAGCACTTACATAAAGAATAAAATCAACAATTATGAGATGATATAAATCCTAGCAGTAGTCCTGATTTATGAAATGAATATTAAAAACTTGAGACTTTTAGACCTACGTTAGAATGGACCCAACTGTAGGGTCTAATACAGGAGTGAATTTGTTACTAATTCTATTGGGTCATTGGAAAAGTCATGACATAGTCTTCTCTAGTTTTCTATGCAAAAATGCATCATGGCTTTTCCAGTGACCCAATAGCTCCTTGCTACTCAGTATGTAGACATCACAATTTGTTAGACACACAGAACCTCAGGCGTCACCCACTGCCAGACTTACTCTGTTAGAGTCTACATTTTAACAAGAGCTCCAAATAATTTCTGTTTTGCACACTGGGCATGTTCCTATAGAAAAATTTAGCCCCAGAGTAAAGAACTATCCCACTGCCAGCAGGAGGTCTTTGCCTTTTCTTCTGGTTTGGTGGCTTCTTGCTGCTCTGTTCTCCCCCTCCTGTGGAGCTCAGGAACAAACATCTCCCAGGAAAGCCTCTAGGTGGTGCTCTAGTCCCATTTCCCCATCTCCTGTTAGATGTCTGGGCCCCTCAAAGGGTACCCGTAAGCAGTGGAAGCGCTCATTTCACATCTCTTAGAATCTTTGTTTTACACACACAAATCCTTTTCACACCATCTTTGGTTCTCCTGTGCTAAAGCATTAAAACAAAAACCCAACACATGCCATGTTATTTCAAGTAAGGCTCTAACCCCAAGTTATGGGTTCAGACTCTCAGATCACCTCAGTCTGTTCAGGCCAGATTCTGCTGTGTTAACATTACCAGTTAAAAGAATTCAATATGAGAAAAATATCACTTAGTGTCACAAAAGGGTGACTGTTTCACTAGCCTCTATTGTTTAGACACTCAGAAGCTTTATCTTTATATTTCTTTAAGTAAATTTTTAAAATTTGTAAGCATAATGCATAACAATATTAAAAGTTACCTATACTAGGAGTGTGAATAAAATAGAAAATAGACCAGCAGGCTGTGTGGAGATGGAGGAGGCTGGATCCCACATAACTAACTGCTTAGCTCAAGTCCTAGACTCAGTGGCTTGAAAATCATACTAGGCATGTGTGCATATGCACCCCAAATCCTGAGAGGAGAATGGAGGAGAAGGGATTGCAGCATGGCCATCCCACTGGGGGCAGGGGTTATTTTTCACTTGTTCGGTCTGTCTGTCTTTGACAAGCATGCACATGCCCTATAGCGAAAGAGAGAGAACAGTTCATTACTAAGTTGCACAAGATTCTAAGGAGGTTGAAAATAGTCTTTTGAAAGATTTGTCTATGAGAGAGGACATCTCATTACTGGAAAAGGAAATCAGTTCAATGAAATGAGAGTAAAGAGACGTAGTTGTATTTCTGGAGTCCTAGGATCAACAGCAGTACTGGTTTCCATGGGTCAGATGAGTACGTTGGGCACTGTTATTCTGAGTGAAGTATTTAATATAGGTGGCCACTCTTGGCCCAGCTGTGGTGCTGCAAGTGGTAGCAGTAGGGCACAGCCCTGTAATGCTGGGCGCATCCTGTGTTGACCTGAAGCACACCAGGTGTGAACACCTGTGATCCTGGCAGGTGAGGAGGGCTGGGGGGATTGCAGCACGAAGAGACCCTCTTGAGGGTCTCTGTTCATCTCTCTTGTTCACTTTCTCAATAAAAGAAATCTGTATGTCTGTGAGTAAATGGTTTCTCTTTTCTAGATGCTTGAGGAAGTATTCCATAATCTTGATCCTGATGGTACAATGAGCGTAGAAGACTTCTTCTATAGTTTGTTTAAAAATGGAAAGTCCCTCACACCATCAGCGTCTACTCCATATAGACAACTGAAAAGGCATCTCTCCATGCAGGTAAGAAGCATACAGCAAGTGTCGTCTTTGTAAGAATTAGAACCTATGTGAATAATTTCTTTTTTGTTTTGCTTTGTTTTGTTTTTGGGAGGGGTTTGGAGAGGTTTTTGCTATAGGGTGTGTGCACTCTCCAGAAAAACAAAGACAGGGAGACAGAAAGCGAGAAATCACCCTCCACCCCCAGGGGAGATGGCCATGTTGTAATCCCTTCTTCTCTCGGGATCTTAGACACACATGCACATGCACCCGGCGTGAGTTTAAGCCACTGGGTTCAGGACTTGAACCGCGGTCTGCTACATGGGAGTCCAGTGACATAGCCATTACACCAACTGCTGGTACCTATGTGAATAATTTCTAATGAATTAATCCATTGTCTGAAGCAAAGTACTAAGGAGAGAAAGTGAAGCGAAAGAAGAAGAAGAAAGACTAAACCGTAGGGAAGGAAAAGTTGGTCTGAGAATGACCATAAATTGCAGATTGGGACGGCCACTAATTATGCCTCTTGATATCATCTCTGGGTCAGAAGAAACCTTGTGTTGAGGGGTGCATCTCTTCTATGTCAGTGGACTCTACCCGAGTTCTTTTTTTTTTGAGAGTTTTTGCTATAGAGCACGTGTGCTCGCCAGACAGGCAGAGAGAGACAGAGAGACAGAAAGCGAGAAATCACCCCCCCAGGGGGGTTGGCCACGCCATAGTCCCTTCTCCTCCATTCTCCTCTCGGGATCTTGGGCATGCACGCACATGCACCCGGCGTGAGTTTAAGCCACTGGGTCCAGGACTTGAACCGCGGTTGACTACGTGGGAGTCCAGCGACATAGCCATTATGCTAATTGCTGGTCCCATTACCTGAGTTTTTGATAAGCTTTGTGTCTTGACTCACTTAGAAACAGAGCTCCAAGGGGGTTCTTGCCTTTTGTTGTCTGCTCGTGTAAATTAGAGAAACATGCCTTCTGCTCACTGCGGGCATTCCCACCAGTTTTGAAATTTCTTGTTGAAATGCTTGGTGTCGAGCTGAGCTTGCTCAAGTCTCTTTCTTCTAGTCTTTTGATGAGAGCGGACGACGTACCACAACCCCCTCAGCGATGACCGGTTCCATTGGATTTCGGGTCTTCTCCTGCCTGGATGATGGGATGGGCCATGCCTCTGTGGAGAGAATACTCGACACCTGGCAGGAAGAGGGCATTGAGAATAGCCAGGAGATCCTGAAGGTGTGGCAGCTAACGGGGGAGACAGATGACAAACGGGGGAAGGAAAGAAGTTTTTCAGTTGTTTTTTGAAAAATTGATTTGACTTGAGTTCTCCTTTAAAAAAAATTATTTATTTTACTTTACATATTATTATTATTTTTAAATTTGCTATAGGGCACATGCGTTCACCAGAGAGGGAGGGAGGGAGGGAGAGTGAGAAAGCAAGCTGCCAGGTCCAGGACTCAAACTGCAGTCAGCCATGTGGGAGTCCAGTGCCTTAACCACCATGCCACCTGCTGGCCCTGATTCTCTTTAATGATTCCTCTAGTCACCAGACCTGAGAAAAATGAGAAGTCACTTTGCCCCACACCAGGAATGTGACACTAGCTTTCTGTGTTTTTTACTCCCAAATTATGTTCATGAGAAATGCTCTTACCTGGTTTCTGGTTAGTAAAGATTCAGATTGTAACACTGTTAACTTAGTATTTTTTGAAAACACAAATAACCACATTATGCTTTCCATACAGAGAACTATTTAAGTTCTAGATTGAAAATTGTTCCTAAGCGGTCACTAAAAATGTAATCATCCGGTTTCTAGGCTAGATTCAGTTCTTTGCACTTAAATTTTCTGCTTTTCGTGGATAGACCTTGCGACTTGTCTTAAACTGTCATTCGCTCTGATTTTTAGGCCTTGGATTTCAGCCTTGATGGAAATGTCAACTTGGCAGAATTGACTCTGGCTCTGGAAAATGAACTTTTGGTCACCAAGAACAGCATCCACCATGCGGCTCTGGCCAGCTTTAAGGCTGAGATCCGACATTTGCTGTGAGTTGGGCAGAAGGTTCGCCTGCTCCGTTCCCTTTCCGAGTTGTCTGGCAAGTCCTTCACGTGTCTTGAGTAAACACTCTTCCATCCTGTGTGCAATATGGCTAATCTGTCATCTCACTGCTGCACATCTTCCCGAGACTAGGAAAACGAGACAGGACTTGGATTGGCATGTAGGCTTTGGAAGGGAACCGTGGAATGCCTTTTTGTTTGGGGAGGTATTTGGTTGTCTTGGTTTTGTTTTTCTATTGGAGCAAGCCAGATGAGAGGTTTTTGGGTCTCCGTGGCTTAGAAACAGTTTCCATTCACTCGGTGTACTTCTGGTTCTAGGGAACGAGTAGATCAAGTGGTCAGAGAAAAAGAGAAGCTTCGATCGGATCTGGACAAGGCTGAGAAGCTCAAGTCACTAATGGCCTCGGAGGTGGATGATCACCATGCGGCCATCGAGCAGCGGAATGAGTACAACCTCAGGTGCGACCTGCTGGCCCAGGCCCTTCCTCTCCTCCCCGGACCCAAGGCAGGGGTGTAAGCAGATATTGGGGCAGGGTAGAGCGTGGTGGGCCCTGTCTTCCTGCCTGTTTGGCCACACCTGGCTGGGGTGACGTTGGTGTGGCTGAGACTAAAGGAAATCAGGACACACTAGGTATTTTCTGGAAGTGCTTTCCATCCCCCTGACTCTTGTGTTTCCGTCTTTGGTGCACCCACGTAGGGATCTCTGAGGAATTAGATGGCAGCGTGTCGGTTTTTCCTCCTCACAGAAAACTAGATGAAGAATACAAGGAGCGCATTGCTGCCTTAAAGAATGAACTCCGGAAAGAGAGAGAGCAGCTCCTACAGCAGGTGGGCAAGCAGCGTTTTGACCTTGAGCAAGAACTCGAGAAGGCAAAAACAGAAGAGAACTACATCCGGGACCGCCTTGCTCTCTCTCTAAAGGTAACGTGTCATTAGCGCTGTCGCGCATGTGCCTGCCGGGGCTGTGACATGGAACACGACTGCCCCGTGAGAGGGCCAGGCACAGGGCCTCTCAGGAATCCAAGGGTTCCTGAGAGTCTGTCAGCTGGGTCATCCCCCAGTGTGGCAGAGCCCCTGCTGGGACCTGGGTTCGGGGCAGCCAGGCCTCCGTCCTGCTGACCGTGTTGATTAGCCCGTCCATCCCTGCAGCTGCGCTGGGTCCCCGGGAGTGTTTTGCACCTGGCTTACACCTGCCTTCCCGCAGCCTGCTCCCCCAAGCCTGTTCTCACCTACAGATTGTCCTTTGCCTTCTCTTCTGTCCCCCTTATCCTCACAGATGGCCTCCCCTCCAGCCAGCAGCGGCTCGTGTGTCTCCCACCTCTGCACATGCCTTTTCCCTCCCACATCTCCTCCCTGTGCCTCAGTGGTCCTACTCGTTACTAGGTCCTCTCACCAGTTAATATTACGATCTAGGTACCACTGCTTAGGAAACCTTGGTCAAGTTACCCAGATCCGTTCCCTAACGTACACATTGGGCACCGTAATACCGGCCTCGTAAGATTGGTGTGGGGAGCTTCCAGGTGCTACCTACATGGTGTCTGGAAAGTGGCACGTATATTTAGGGAGTTGGTGGTTGTCGCTGTTATGAAAGGTCCCTGGAACTCTGCCCATCAGAGACCAAGGTAATTATCACCTGCTCACCATTCAAGTGCTTTATCCCCTGAATCTTTTCCCTGGTTGACATCATCACCACGTGCTCTAAGTCCCAGGAGCTAGATCCTCAGCCACCTTCCTCGTCATCACCTGTCAGTCTCCAGGTCCTGTTGCTGTACCCAAACGCCTCCCACACTTACCCCTTCCTCTGCGTTTCCCAGCCTTCCGTCAGGCTCAGACCTCAGCGTGGTTTCTACGCTGATGAGCGTGTGTCCTGGACAGTCCTTTCCACGGTTTTTTCTACCTCCTTGTGACCAAAGATCAGTTACAGTCCTGCTGCTTCCCTCGGTTGAGACGAAACCAAACGACCCAAGGTGTTAGCAGTCAGGGCACCAGAAGGGGGTCTCATCCTCCGATCTTTATAACCTCAGCTCCTACCAGTAGCCCCAGGACTGTGTCCCTCCCTGCATCCCACCCCACCACACCTTCAGCTTTCTGGGTTCCTGAAGGGCAGGGCCCTTTTATGCTGCCTCACTGCTTTTCTCAGCACTGCAGTGAAAGTACTTTTCACTCCTGTTAGAGTTATGTTCTTATTGCTAGAAGATAGCGCTCTTCCTGCTGCGTCATCAGCTTCCCTCCCCACATCCAGGCTGCGTTCGTTCCCTGTGGACTGTTACGGTATCTGAGAACCAGCACAGCACCTCCTACACAGTGGTTCCCCTGCATTATTTCAGCATCTCACTTCAGATGTACTTCGAAAGATCAGAGAGCCAGCTCATGGCATTGTTAAGGCAGCTGGATCCCACAGGGCCAACTATGCAGTTCGAGTCCTGGCCTGGCGGCCTGAGAAACACTCCTGATGTGTGTATGCATGCCCAGGTCGCAAAAGGAGGGAGAGATGGAGAAGGGATTGCAATGTGAGCACGCCCTGTGGCAGGTGCCTTCACGCTTTCTCTCTTTCTCTTCAGCAAGTACACATATCCTCTACCAAATTAAAAGTAATAATAAAATGTTTTCAAAGGAAAGGTAAGAGTTACACAATTCTCATTTTTTAAATAAGAGCACTACTTTTTAAGAATTATTTTAAATTTTATTATTATTGTTATTTTTAAGTTTGCTATAGGGCATGTGTGCTCACCAGAGAGAGATGGACAGAGAGAAAGAGAGAGAGAGGGGACGGGAGGAAGCACTCTGCCAGGTCTGAGACTCAAACCGCAGTCGACCATGTGGGAGTCTAGCACCTTAACACTTGCTGGCCTTCGAATTGTCATTTTAAGGGAAGGTTCTATTTTCTTACATGCTTCAAGTGCATTATTTTCATTTCCTTTATTTTATTTTTAAAAACTGGGTCTCACTAAGTTGCTCAGTCTAGCCTCAAACTCGTAACCTTCCTGCCTCAGCATCTCAAGTCGCTGGGGGGACAGGAACATGCCACTGCCACATCCCTTTTCCTCTCCATATTGCTGTGTGAGGGTGTGAACTAGAATATATTAAAAACATATTGGCTCTGGATTCTTTTTGGCAAAATGTACTTAGAAAATAATGATCTTCTAATCAGCCTTTAGCACTGGAGAAGAAAATGTGTCAAATGGCATGTCTTTATGCGTGTGTGTTTTGTCTTAAAACAAATGTGGGTAGAAATCTTTCTGAAAAGTACTATGCATTCAGATCCTTTTCAATCAAAGAAGAAAAACCTTGTGTGGGTTTCATTTGGTATTTTATTTCAGTAACTTAAACCTATATAAATTATGAACTTTTATGTGTGGCTTTCAGATCTTTAAACCAAAATAAAACTTTAATTAAATATAAGCCAAACTATTATATAGTAAATGAAGAATTGATCTTAAAGTTACTCTTTATAGTTTTGCTGAAGTCCTGTTTGCCGACAGTTGAACAAGGTATTTTATGACCAGTTTTCTTTCGTTTGACAATGTATTGGGAATATTTTCATGTCAGTACATATACTACCCACGTGCTCTCCAATAGAAATACAGCACAGTCAGCCAGCAGGTGGCAGGGAGGTTAATGTTGCAGGATCTCACATGGCTGACTTTGCCATTCAAGTCCCAAACCTGGAACCTTCAAAATCATGTGTGGGATCAACAGTTGGTGTAATGGCTATGTCGCCAGACTGCCATGTAGTCAACCACGGTTCAAGTCCCAGACCCAGTAACTTAAACTCATGCTGGGCACATGTGCGTGTGTGCCGAAGATCCCGAGAGGAGAATGGAGGAAAAGGGATAGTGGAGTGACTATCCCCCTTGAAGGGGTGACTTATCACTCTCTTATCTCTCTGTCTCTTTCTGCCTTTCTGGTGAGCATACACACCCTATAGTAAAACCTATTTTAAAACAATCATGCCAAGCATATGTGCATCCATGTCCAAAATCCCAAGAGAAGAATGGAGAATATGATTTCTCACTCTCCCCGCCACACCCTAAAGCAAACTATAAAACAAAAAAAGACATATAACACAAGCCACATATGCAATTTCACATTAAAAGGTAAAAAGAAACAAATTAATTTAAAATCATTTAGCCCAGTGTCTGTAAGACATTATCATTTTGATATGGGATCACTATGCGAAATTTGTGACTGTACTATTTAAAACCTGCATGTATTTTACATGGACAGCACATTTCAGGTTGGATTAGACACATTCCAAGTGCTCAGTATCTACACGTGGCTGCTACAGGCTACCATACTGAATAGCACAGTTCTACATGGTCAAACAACGGGCAGACTGGGCCAGCGGGTGGTGTGGTGGCTAAGGCACTGTAGCCTACATGGCCTACTCTGCTGTTCAAGTCCTGGATCTGGCAGGACAAGATAGTTATCAGAAGTACAACTAGTGAAATTATTAAGACCCTACACCCTGGAAAGGCTATAAAGTTCTTTAATCTTTCTTGCAAAATGGAATACGTCAGCCCAAAATGTGCAAATCTGATGTCAGAAGAAAAATAAAATTACTTGAAGAGAAATATTGCCAAATGAGACAGAATAGATCATACCGTGTCTTTTTTTTTTTTTTTTGAGAGGTTTTTGCTATAGGGCGCTTGCGCTCGCCAGACAGAGAGAGACAGAGAGACAGAAAGCGAGAAATCACCCCCCGGGGGGATGGTCACCCTGCAATCCCTTCTCCTCCATTCTCCTCTCGGGATCTTGGGCACGCACGCACACTCGCCCGGCGTGAGTTTTAAGCGACCGGGTCCAGGACGCGAACCGTCATCGACTACGTGGGAGTCCAGCGACACAGCCATTACGCTAACTGCTGGTTCCCACCACGTCTTATTATTAAACTGTCAGAAATAGAGCCAGGCAGTCACACGGCTGTAATGCCACTGGCTCCACATAAGGAAAGTCCCAGGTTTACTCCCCAGACCTACCTGAGCATGCGACGTGCTTGCCTATATGCCCGTGATCCGTGCCAGCCAAAACCAGGGGTGAATCATGGTGTGAGGACCCTGTGGGGGATTTCTGTTCTCTCTTGTCCTCTTCTCTCTCTCTCATGGAAAAAATAAACTTAAAAAAAAAAAAAAAACAACTTTCGATCAGGTCTTTTTCATGTGAAAAAGAGCTTAGTACTTGTCATTCCCATGTTGTAATCACGCTGGGAGCATGTATGTGTGGGCCAGAATCCCAAGAGGAGAATGGAGGAAAAGGGACTGCAGCGTGGCTCTCCTTCCTAGGGGGTGACTTTATTATTTTTTTTTTAACCAACTGAGTTTTATTTGTTGTATAAACCAAATCACCTAACATCTTTCACGTGGAAAAATACTAAATTTGAATAAAGATATTACAAAATGAATTAGAGCCCAATAAAAATTAGCTTTGGGGAGGGAACATAATTCTACTCAATTAAGGCAAACATTTTTATAGACCACAGATTAGTTTATTTTTAACACCCATCATGCCATGAATTCATAGGGAATAGGTTCCAGTAGCTCAGGCTCCTTTCCATTGGTTCTCACAGAGTGTGCTTCTCTGGGTGGAGCAGGCTGGCGCTTTAGTTGAACCCAGGTACCTTTCTCTTTGGCTTCTTTCTTTTTCTGGTCATTTTCCTTCACACGTTTTAGGAAGCTATCTCTGCTCTTAGAATGCTTAATATGCTCAATACGCACATTGATTCTCTTGGCAAGAATCTTGCCCTTAACTTGTTTGTTCACAACAATGCCAACAGCATGCTGGGTAACATTGTAGACTTCCAGTTTTGCCATGGTAACATTTGTGGGGCCCTCCTTTTTGTACAATACCCATTCCCTTGATGTCTACAGTATCACCTTTCTTGTAGATTCGCATGTATGTTGCCAAAGGAACCACTCCATGTTTTCTAAAAGGCCTAGAGAACATACATTGGGTGCCTCTCCTCCCTTCCCTTTGTGTTCATTTTCCCTTTGTGTTCGTCATTTTGGTGAATTACTGGAAGATCTCTAGGGGGTGATTTCTCACTTCCACTCTCTATCTGCCTCTATCTCTGGCAGGAGCACATGCTCTAAAGCAAAAATCTGAAAAGAAAATATTTATATACACACTTATTAAAGCTATAAGAAAGACACCAACTTTTTTTTTTTTTTTTTGAATTGTCAGAAGGTATGTGCACTTGCCAGAGAGAGACAAGAGCAGAAAGCACCCCCCAGGTGCATGGTCACACTGCAGTCCCTTCTTCATCTCTTCATCCTGTTGAGATGCAGAGCACACACTCACATGTGCCTAACTTGTTTTTCCAGCCACTGGGACTAGGATTCGAGCTGCATGGTTGGCTCTGTGAGACCCTGCTCCCTTCACCACTGGGCCACAGGGGTAACCATGGATACCAACCTGTTACATTTCCTCTGGTCTCCTCCAGTTCACTAGAACTCTGTAGTGGGCAAAAGATGGAGTGGTTTAAGATCTAGAACACGGATGTGTGCTGTGTATAAAACGGTACATGTTGCTTTATTTCTTAATCTCTACCACATTTAATTTCCCCAGGAAAACAGTCGCCTGGAAAATGAGCTTCTGGAAAATGCAGAGAAGTTGGCAGAGTATGAGAATCTGACAAACAAACTTCAGCGAAATTTGGAAAATGTGTTAGCCGAAAAGGTAAAGCTGCTTAAATTGGTTTTCCTGATAGGCAGCCCAAACCTGTTTTCTCAGCGGAGCAGAAGCAATACCAACAAGAACATTTTTATTAGGAAATTATTTGAAGAGCTAGAGGGAGTTGTAACTTCTGTAAGGGTGTAATTTAGTAGGGAAAACATGGCCTGGCATTGAGAAACAACCTCTGCCGTAGCTGAACACTAGCACGCTCTCTACCATTCTGTTCGTGGCGGTTCTACGCAAATGTCACATTCCTTTCATACTCAAGAGACTCGTGAACAGTGATGAAACCGGGGCCTTTGGAATGTTATAGGTCAAAGGAGGGCCCTTGGGAAAAAACGACAGCTTTGCCCTTTTCCCCTTCTAGTTTGGTGACCTCGATCCCAGCAGTGCCGAATTCTTCCTGCAAGAAGAGAGACTGGCACAGATGAGAAACGAGTATGAGCAGCAGTGCAGGGTAAGTGGCCGAAGAGCACTGGGACCTGAGCGTCACCGTTTACTTGCTGCGTCCCTTAATCTGTGAGTGCCCCGGTTTCTCACCTCTGGGATGACGAAGTAGGCACACTCGCCACACAGGGCCGTCATGATGGTTCGGTGAGTGAGTATGCAATGCTCAGCACAGAGGCAGGGGCGTAGGAAGGACTGGCACGAATGTTGACTACCGTTAGTCAGTACCCTGAACTTCAGGGAATCATGCAAACTGCACTTAGGCCTGTGTTCTCTATGTCAGAAATGGCTAGTGCATACTTGAAAATGGAGTTTTATTCCAAGTAGAAGACTCTGTGGTCATGTCCTTCTTCCATGATTAGCCTTTTCTGGTTGAGCATTGCAGATCTAACCTGATGTAATTTGTTTTTGTCCTTTTTGTCGTTTCCTGAATACATTCTTTACTTTATTCACAAAATGTTAATGAAGCAGAAACCACTCAAGCCTTTAGGTTATAAATAATTTCTAATCCCTACAAAGAAACACTTGGTTTTCTTAAAAATAATAATTTATTTTATTTAGCATGATTAATTATTTTTTAAATTTGCTATAGGCCCCGTGCATTTGCCAGAAAGACAGAGAAAGAGACTGAATACATTCTTTACTTTATTCACAAAATGTTAATGAAGCAGAAACCACTCAAGCCTTTAGGTTATAAATAATTTCTAATCCCTACAAAGAAACACTTGGTTTTCTTAAAAATAATAATTTATTTTATTTAGCATGATTAATTATTTTTTAAATTTGCTATAGGCCCCGTGCATTTGCCAGAAAGACAGAGAAAGAGAGAAAATAGGAGCCCGTGCATTTGCCAGAAAGATAGAGAAAGAGAGAAAATAGGAAAGCAGGCTGCCGGGCCAGGACTCGAACCTCAGTCAGCCATGTGGGAGTCCAGTACTTTAACTACCGCACCACCTACTGGCTTCCATAAACACTTCTATTTTTTGAGAGAAAGATTTTTGCTATAGGGCATGTGCATTCACCTAGAGAGACAAAGAGAGACAGAAAGCAAGAAATCACCCCCCAGGGTGGATGGCCATGCCACAATTCCTTCTCCTCCATTCTCCTCTAACAATTTTGGACACAAAGGCACATGTGTCTGGTATGAGTTTCAAGCCACCAGGTCTGGAACTCACACTGTGGTCGACCATATGGGAGCCCAGTGCCTTAACCACCATGCCACCTGCTGACACCAAAACATTTATCATATAAATCTTTTATTTTTTTTTCTAAGAGAGATTTTTTGCTATAGGGTGCATGCACTCACCAAAGAGACAGAAAGCAAGAAATCACCCCCCAGGGTGGATGGCCATGCCACAATTCCTTCTCCTCCATTCTCCTCTAGGGATCTTGGGTATACACACACACACACACATCCAGCATGAGTTTTAAGACTAGGTCCGGGACTTGAACCATGATCAAGTATATGGGAGTCCAGTGATGTAACCATTATCCCATCTACTGGTGCTTTTTATTTATTTATTTTTTTATTAGCCTCTTTAAGTTTAGGAATTTGAAGTTTTTAAAAGGTGTTTAAACAAACACTTGTTTATTTTACGAAGGTAAGTACCACAGAGTTCTAACTGCTTTAGATAATGATTGTAATTGTACAGAGATGAGAAATAAACAGTCACCTCCTTGTGAGGTGTGTATCTTGTCTACTCAGGAAATAGATGCACACATCTGAGAAAAGAAATGGAATATATCTATTGTTTTATCATTTTTACCTCTTGATTAAATTAGATAGAGGCGTTTTCTGTAGGGTGCATGCACTTGCCAGAGAGAGACAGACAGAAAGTGAGAGAGAGACTCCCAGCAGGGATGGCCATGCCGGAATCCCTTCTCCTCCAGTCTCCTTTTGGGATTTGGGGTGCACACACACATGTGCTCTGCATGATTTTCAAGCTGCCAGGTCCAGGGTTCAAACCCCACAGTCAGCCAGGTGGGATCCAGCACTTTAACTAAGCTCTACACCATCTGCTAGTCCTCTCTAAATGTTTTTAAATTTAAATGAATTCATCAGTAAAATCTATTAACCCTACCTCCCAAAATTCCCCCAATCTACTCATTTCCTTTTTAAACAGCTTTATATACCATGTACTTCACCAATTAAAGTGTATTAACTTAATTATCCTGTTGTTAAAGTCACAGGATTTTTCAACCATCATCATAATCAATTTTCGAATATATTTATCACCCCAAAAGTATTAGGTTGTCTGGAAAGTCACGACATATTACTCTGTTTTTCTGTGCAGAAATATGTCAGGACTTTCCCGATAACTCAATACTTCTATTCCATTTATCCATAATCTTTGTCATGCCCCCCAGCCCCAGTCAGCGACTAATCTATTGTCTGTCTCTATAAATGTGCCTGCTCTCTACATGTCAGATACATGGAGTGAGATAATATGTGGTCCTTTGAGACTGACATCTTTCCCTTAGCATGCTTTCAGGGTTTATCCGTGACACGTATCTGTACCTCATTCCTCTTTATGACCGAATAATATTCCACTGTATAGATACACAACATTTTGTATAACAGTTTTGTATGACATTTTGTATAACAGTTCATGGACATTTGGGGGGGTTTGGCTATTATGACCAATACTACTATGTAATTTGTCCATATGTCCAAGTTTTCGTGTGGATACATGTTTTCATTTCTCTTAGCTATACCTAGAAGTGGAATTGGTGGGTCGTATGATACTGCCAAACTTCTTCCAACCTTTTTGGAAAAATGACTTTTGGTCCCATTTGTATGAGAATTTCATTTTCTCCACATCTTCACCAACGGTTGTTATAGCATATCTTTTTATTTGTTCAAATGAGAGAAAGAGCAGAAGAGTGGGAAGGGGAGAAGAGAAAGAGGCATCTTTGATAAGGATTCTTCACATCATGATCCCCTCCCAGTTATCTAGGCCCTCCATACCCGGCCCGTTGAGGTCAGTCTGGGATCCAAGCCCAGGCTTCCCCTGTTGCTCCAGCCTCACAGAGACACCATCATGGTGGGTCCTACATGTCTTTTTTACTCTAGATATCCTAAACGATGTGAAGTAGATCCTTTGCCCATTTATTTATTATTATTATTATTACTATTTTTAAAATTTGCTATAGGGCATGCTTCAGAGATAGAGATAGGGAAAGTGTGAAAGCAAGCAGCCAGTTCCTGGACTCATACTTTCGTCAGCCATGTGGGAGTTCAGCATCTGAACCACCATGCCACCTGTAGCTCATTTTTAAATTGAGTTCTTTGTCTTTTTATTATTACGTTGTAATAGTCTTTATGTATTCTATTTACAAGTCTCATATATAATTCGCAAAACATTTTTCCCATTAATAGGTATTTTTTACTTTATTGTGTCGTTTGAGCACAAAACTTTTGATTTGGATAGTGTCTAGTTTATTTGCATTTTTGTTGCTGTGTGTGTCACATCTAAAACCTGTGTTGCTTTTTAAACTCCAGGTATTGCAAGACCAAGTGGATGAACTCCAGTCTGAGCTGGAAGAGTACCGGGTCCAAGGCAAAGCGTTCAGGCTTCCTTTAAAGAACTCTCTGTCAGAAGAACTTGAAGTAAACAGTGGTGGCACCGAGCCTGAACAGGGTACACATACATGAACGCTGTCTTTTCCTGAGTCTCTAATTTTAACCTTTGCTTTTAGAATCATGGCTGAATATGAAATTGCAAAACTTTGGCAATCTGGGAAAAAAAAATAACTTGGCAGTCCTCTTTTCTTGAGCTATTTTATTGTGGTCTGGTTTTTCATTTGTCCTTAAAGTCTTTCTGTGAGAGTATTTCCATCTGATTTTGATACGCATCAACAGAATGATGGAAAAATCAAACCACAAGGGTATTTTATTTGTTTAAAAAACAAACAAAAAAATATTGGCCACAGAACAGTGGAGTGTTGGAATTCCGGCTCTGAACTGCCGAATCCCCTCTTTCTAAGAGAGTGCCTAACTGGTAGAAGATGGTTTTGGAGAAAGGGCCAGCCACAAACCACAGGCTCTATAATGGCTTTCTCTGCTGGCTGTGCTAAGTGTCTATCTTGCCTCTGCAAAACAACAAATAAGATAAATAAAGGTTGGTTGTCCGGGCATTTGAGGAAGATTTTGAATGACAAGGCTGAAAGGGAAAGTTACTGGGAGCTCTCCTTCTTCACTATCAGCTCTTTTCCCCTCTCCTGATAGCCTATATCTTTCCTCAGGTGTGTTGAGTTTGAATTTCAGAAAGAGCTGGTAAAGGGGCCAGCAGGTGGCATGGTGGTTAAGACAACTGGACTCTCACATGACTGACCCTGGTTCGAGTACTGGACCTGGCAGCTTGCTTTCTCACTTTCCTTCTCTCTCTCTGTCTCTCTCTGGTTAACTTCAAAAAAATAAAATAAAGGGACCAGCAGTTAGCTTAATGGCTATGTTGCTGAACTCCCATGTAGTCGACCACGGTTCGAGTCCCAGACCCAGTGGCTTAAACTCATGCCAGGCGCATGTGTGTGCATGCCCAAGATCCTGAGAGGAGAATGGAGGAGGAGGGATTGCGATGTGGCCAAACCTTTGGCGGGTGATTTCTCGCTTTCGGTCTCTGTGTTTTTCTCTGTCTTTCTGGTAAGCGCATGCACCCTATAGCAAAACAAAACAAAACAAAAAAGAACACCTCTCCAACCAAATAAATAAATAAATAAAATAATGGCAATGAATAAAATTTTAAAAAAATGCTTAAGAAGAGCTGGTAGTCAGTTCTGTCATAAATATCAATAGCTTCCCCCACTGCTACTTGGAACAGGAGTATGGCTCTTACAAAGGTTTTTTTATTCCTCTCCTTACTTACTTAAGTATAGAATAAGGGATTGGAGAGGGCAGAAGAGGAGGTCTTAACATTCTTTCTATGGGTCTTGGCTGACGTTGTTTAGAGATGGAGGCCAACTGATGAGATATATCTGAGCAGTTTTTCTGGGCTTTTCCATAGATGACCAAGTGTTGGAGTGCTCTTGATGGATACACAAAGCTGTCCTATCTTGAGGTGGCTTAAACCCCAGGTTTTATTTCTCAGTTGGGAATGTACCAGAATATGAGAGATTTTTCAAAAGTTCATGGAAATTCGCATTTTAAAAAAAACTAGACATGGATTTCTTGGCTTCTGTGGTTACTTAGATCATATCTGTGGCAATTCAGGATGAAAATGATTTCTTAGTTAAACATGATATCCCACTTCACATGCTAGACTGTGTTATTGGCCCTGCTGCAGGATCATAGGTTCTCTGTATTTTCAGTGCTTGGTACTGAAGAATGTAATCCATTGAATATGAGCATCGAGGCCGAGCTGGTGATTGAACAGATGAAGGAACAACATCACAGGGACTTATGTCACCTCAGACTGGAGCTTGAAGATAAAGTAAGTCCTGGGACCAGCAGTTAGTGTAATGGCTATGTCACTGAACTCCCATGTAGTCAACCGCGGTTCTTGTCCCGGACCCGGTGGCTTAAACTCACACCAGGCGCATGTGCGTGCGTGCCCAAGATCCCAAGAGGAGAATGGAGAAGGGATTATGGTGTGGCCATTCCCCCTGGGGGGTGATTTCTTGCTTTCTGTCTTTCTGTCTCTGTCTCTGGTGAGCACACGTGCCCTATAGCAAACCCCTCCAAAAAAAAAAAAAGTAAGTCCTTCCTCCCAATTTAGTTCTCTCAATTTTTTGAGCTCTGACAACCCTTTGCATACAGGGTGTTCCCAATACTTTTTTCTCATGCAGCAATTACATTTTATACATTTCCTCTTTCACTTGGTGTCTACCAGGAGCCCACCTCCTCAGGATGCTGTCATGGCTTAGAGCTTTTCCAAAATACAGTATCTTCAGTCTCAGCAAGCATGAAGCTGGCAGGCCATTATGTTATTTCCAACTTAATAAAAGATAGCTTAATAAAACAAAAATAAAAGCCTTTTGCTGTAGCATTACTCCTAAAGTGGGGACAAGTGTGGAAGCATGGCCTCTACACCCTTGCCATGTGGCTTCGGCTTGCATTTCCAGTCTTCCCTTTCACCATTTGCTTTAAGTTACTTAATCCTCCAGCCAAACGGGCTAGTTCACTGTTGTCTGTCCAACTCTGTCTCCTTTTCCTTATGCTATTTATTACAAATGGTGCTATTATTATTTATATCAGATGTTGCCTCTTCATGAAGCCACTCCTGAATGGCCCCAGCCCGATGCAGGTTCCCCTCCTCTGAATCCCTGGGCTACATCATAGCTCTTTTTCCTTAACCTTTCATCTCTGATGTTCTGTAGTACGCCTGTAGTTGGCGTGTCTTTACCTAGACTAGCTTACCCAACTTTGGTACTGTCTTGTGCAACCTTATGTTCTCACAGGGCCTGCAGAGCATCTGATAGGTGCTCAATAAACATTTGAATTTAATTAAACATTTGAGACCTTGGACACATGGGAAGACAAAGGTTCTCTATGTGTGAGGATCTGCTCAGCTCCTTGGAGTCCTTCAGAAACTAATACAATTCAACTAAGTTTAAAAAGAAAAACAAATCATTCCTATCTGAAATGTCTTAAAGTGTTTTTTTAATTAACTTACTTCAAAGGAAAATGAGGAAACTAAGGAATGTCATGTAGGCAAAAGTCTCATCCCTCCCCATCAGCTCGCTTTGTGTGGCCATGAGTTGAAGTATCTTGTGGTTTCACTCTCTTGACTCAGGTGCGCCTTTCTGAAAAGCAGCTCGATGAAACTCTCGTCACCTGTGAAAAGGAGCAAGAGCACATGAAGCAAAAATATGAGGCCGAAATGCACACCTTGAAAAACCAAATAAGTGACCTTGAACATGAAATCACGAACCTGCGGGGGCAGGCAGTGGTGCTGAAGGAGGCACATGAGGAGGCCGCCTGCAGACACGAGGAGGAAATTAAACAACTGCAGATGAAGTTTGATGAGGAAAAGACTTGCCTGCAGGAGAAGTTGAGGCTGGAGCATGAGAGGGAGCTTGAGGCTCGACTGGAGCAGGCAGAGGAAAGCTTTAACCAGGAAAGGGAAGGACTCATTCAGAGTAGCTCCTGGACAGAAGAGAAGGTGAGAGGCCTGACCCAGGAACTGGAGCAGTTTCACCAGGAGCAGCTGAAAAGCCTGGTGGAGAGGCATGCTCTTGAGAAAGAGGAGTTGAGGAAAGAACTCTTGGAAAAGCACCAAAGGGAACTTCAAGAGGGAAGGTAAGAAAACCAGGGGAAATGACAGAGTGCTGTCTCTTAGGACACCCAAGTTCCACTTGGTCAAGAAGCCTCGAAAAAATCAGAAGGCTTAGGAGCCAGTTGATCAGATAGTTTACAGTTTCCAGGCAGATTCACCATTGTTTGGATGGATGCCTATCTTGGGGTTACTAGAATTGTTTTTGGCTTTGTTTTGTTTTTAAAAGAGAAAAGTATTCCTTATATTAAGAGTTATTGTATCTTAATAAGGCTCCCTGTGAAGCTAGGTCATCCTAAATGTGATATCTTCCTAGTTCAAGCTGTTGCTTTCTGAGAAAAAGCTGTGTATAACTGATTCTGGGCAAGATTCTATGCCTCCCATAGTTATGCAACACGACTCTGTGCTTTCCTTCCTCATATGAAATCCCAGGAACATTTCAGGACTTTGGCATCACACAGCGATTGACTTGGTGCTCTTTATTAAAGCATCCTGAATTTGTTAGATGTGTGTGGTTTATGCGACGAATACCCCATAGTGTATGCTTAGCTAAAATGAAAGAATGTTATGTATTTCCCAACTTAGTCCCAACGTAATGTGATGTATCATCTGAAGTTGTTGGTTTAAATTTCATAAGCAAATACACCCAGGAGTATGCAAAATAATTTCATTCCTAAAATTCCCCCCTAACTACAGAAAGAGGTAAGTCTTTTACATTAATTATGGCTGCCAATCTTAGCTCTCAGAAATGAGATCTGTTCCCAGTATAAATGAATCATCTAAGAATAAGTTTAGAAATATTTCAGTTGTTTTCTCAGCATTCTCTTCTATGATTGGGAAATGGTTTTTGCTTGTTTGTTTGTTTGTTTGCTTCCAGAGTTGGGGGCAATTTCAGTAATGCTATATGTTAACCACATTTAGGGGAAAAATGGAAACAGAGTATGCTAGAAGACTCTCTCAGATAGAAGCCCAGTTTCAGGCTGATTGTCACAAAGTCACTGAGAGATGTGAGAATGCTCTGCAAAGCCTTGAAGGGCGCCACCGCCAAGAGCTGAAGGAGCTCCTGGAGCAGCAGCGGGAGGAGAAATCCCAGTGGGAGTTTGAGAAGGACGAGCTCACCCAGGAGTGTGCAGAAGCCCAGGAGCAGCTGAAAGAGTCTCTTGAGAGAGAGAAAGCAACTTCTCTGGTCCTGACCCAGGAGAGAGAGATGCTGGAGAAAACATACAAAGAGCATGTGAACAGCATGGTCATTGAGAGGCAGCAGCTGCTCCAAGACCTGGAGGACCTAAGAAACGTGTCGCAAAGCCAGCAAAGCCTGCTGTCTGGCCAGATACTGGAGCTGCAGAGCAATTGTGATCGAGAACTGAGGGACCACAAGCAGGTCCTCTTCCGGGCAGGGACCTCAGAGCAGCTAGAGAGGATACAGATGGAATGTGACCAGGAAAGGCAGGAGATGAGGGCCAAGCTGCTGGCCATGGAGAGCCTCCACAAAATGACCTGCGAGAAAGCAGATCGAGAGAGGGCAGAGATGAGCACAGAAATCTCCAGGCTTCAGCATACAATAAAGGAAATGCGGCAGGCAGCATCTTCCCTCTCCAAGCTTCAGAGCGGCTGCCAGGCAGTGGGAGGGGTGGAGGCGGAAGGCAGCGGAGCCATGTCCCTGCTCCAGCAAGGCGAACAGCTGCTGGAAGAGAATGGAGACGTCCTCGTGAGCCTGCAGAGAGCTCACGAGCGCGCAGTGAAGGAAAATGTGAAAATGGCAACTGAAATTTCTAGACTGCAACAGAGGCTGCAAAAATTAGAGCCCGGGTCGGTCATGTCTTCTTGTTTAGATGAGTCAACTACTGGGTTTTCTGGAAATTCTATGGAACAAACACAGTCATTTTTACTAGAAAACCGAATGAAGCAAGTAGAAGGTGTAACCACGCCACACACCCTGAGTGACTTGCAAGACGATGAAGTCGGAGACCCGGGAAGTACAGGGACAAGCTCTGTCCAGAGACAGGAGGTCAAAATAGAAGAGTCTGAAGCTTCCATGGAGAGTTTTTCTGAGCTTGAAAACAGTGAAGAGACCAGGACTGCATCCTGGGACCTGAAGAACCAGATCCGTCAGCTTCAGGAACAACTAAGGAGCTTACGTGCAGACTGTGACCGAGCTTCGGAAAAGAAACAGGACTTACTTTTTGATGTTTCTGTGCTAAAAAAGAAACTAAAGATACTTGAGAGAATCCCAGAGGCTTCTTCCAAGTATAAGTTGTTATACGAAGATGCCAGTAGAGAAAACGACTGCCTTCAGGAAGAGCTGAGAGCTATGGAGACACGCTACGAGGAGGCGCTGGAAAATAACAAAGAACTTACTGCAGAAGTTTTCAGGTTGCAGGATGAGCTGAAGAAAGTGGAGGAGGTGACTGAAACATTCCTTAGCCTGGAAAAGAGTTATGACGAGGTCAAAACAGAGAACGAGGAGCTGAACGTTCTGGTTTTGAGACTTCAAGGGATGATTGAGAAGCTGCAGGAGAGAGCAGTTCTGCAGTGTGACTGCGTCACCTTGTGGGAAGCGCGTTTAGGTAATCTGGAAGTCGAACCAGATGGAAAGATACTTGAACTCAGTCAGACACTGGAGGAGTGTGTGCCCAAGATTAGGAGTGTACACCACGTTGTAGAACATAAACAAAGCCAGTACCTTGAGCAGAAGACTACACGACTCTTGGAGAAAGTAAAAGCGTGTGAAATTGCCTGGGTACATGGAACAATTCAGACACACCAAGGAAAGCCAAGGGTACAGAGTGACATTATCCTAGAGGAAGACGCTGCTCTCCCTGGCCTTCAGGACAAGCACTTCCAGCGTCAGGCCGCAATCGCAGAGTTAGAACTGGAGAAAACAAAGCTTCAGGAGCTGACGAGAGAGTTGAGGGAGAAAGTCACTACTTTAGTCAAGCAAAAAGATGTCCCTTCTCAAGGAGAGAAGGAGGAAGAGCTGAAGGCAATGATGCATGACTTGCAAGTCACGTGCAGTGAGATGCAGCAAAAAGTGGAACTTCTGAGGTAACGTATGTCCCTTCTAGGCTTCACGGAATCCCGCCAAGCTCCTCACCAAAGCTAACTTCTGCTGCTTACTATGCCTAGAGAAACTAACCTGTAGTCTTCAAGAAGAGAGCAGTACTCTAGACTTCCTTCTGCTTCCGAGTCATATTAACAAGTAGAATAACCTCACCTAGGAAGTGTTCCCTTCCTCTGTAGCAAATACATGTTGTTCCTGTGGGGTATGAAAGTTCGGAATGGTGAGTGCTTGCCGTTTAACCAGGTGTATCATCAGTGTATGTCCTTAACTCTCTTCTAGCACTTACTTCATTTGGATGGATGGATTTCTTTTTGGCTAAATGTTCATTACTTTCCTCATTTTGATGAAATGTATGAGAATAAACACCTTTTGTGTATGATTAACTCACTTAATAGATAAGAACTCTTACAGTAAAGTAGGAAAAATGTTTATGGCTTATAGTATATCACTTGATGTGCAGGCTGAGATCCCATAAGCAAAGGAAGTTTAAGAACATATAGTTTTATTAAGGAGCTACAGAGTCTAATATATGTACGTGAAGAATAAAGAAAAATGCAGAACTAACTTGAACGATTGCTCACTTGACTCTATAAAATATGATTGCATTAGTCTAGCAAATTTAGTTTTTTTGACAAAATTGTAAAATATTTATCATGTCTGAAATATATATATATATTAAGAATTATCTTAATTCATGACCAGCAGATGGCGTAATGTATACATCGCTAGACTCACATGTAGTTGACTGTGGTTCGAGTCCCAGACCCAGCGGCTTAAAACTAAAGCCTGGCACATGTGCATGCGTGCCCAAAATCCCAATAGGAGAATGGAGGAGAAGGGATTGTGGCATGGCCATGCCCCTCGGGGGGGGAGGGGAAGGGAGATGATTTCTTGCTTTCTGTCTCTCCAGCGAGTTCACATGCCCTACAGCGAAAATCTCTCTTAAAAAGAGAATTATCTTAATTTTATTTATTATTTTAATTCACCAGAGAGAGAGAGAGAGAGAGAGCAAGCTGCCAGGTCCAGGACTTGAACTGCAGTTGACCATGTGTGGGGTCTAGTACCCTAGCCACCATGCCACCTACTGACCCCATGAAATAATTTCATGATATAGAACAAAATAATTGAATTCAGAATGTGGTTCCCCTTCTTCAGACCATTTTTAGTTCTGAAAATCAGAATATAATCAGACAAATAAAATCACAAAGTAAATATGAATATACATTTTTTAGTGTGGTTCTTTGATTTATGTAGTAGCTTTTCTTTCTGTAGGTTCCCAGCACCTAAAACGAAAGTTAATACAGTTCAGTAATGTAGCTTATGTTTATTCAGAACAGGTAGGACCTGAGACTGAGATAAATGAAGCGAATTGCCCAAGGCAACATATGCTTGTCATTGAGAAAATCAACAACCAGAATGGGCATTGAGCCTCTATTCCTGGCTCCCTGCTGGAGTTTTTTTAGCCACACTTCCCTAACGAATTTTAGTGCAAATCTGACTTCCCAAAAGAAATGAGTCAATATGTCATAATTTGATTTCCAAGTACTAGGCGTCTACTAATTTAGACTTCTCTTTTTAACTGGCATGGAATACTTGTTTTATTGGAAGTTACTAGAAAATATTTTCCGAAGATGCCAGATGACTGTCTTGTTGTAACTTTTTAAAAAAAATCTCTATACTTCAGATATGAATCTGAAAAGCTTCAAGAGGAAAATTCTATTTTAAGAAGTGAAATTACAACTTTAAATGAAGAAGATAGTATTTCAAACCTGAAATTAGGGAAATTAAATGGATCACAGGAAGAAATGTGGTAAGACATATATTTAAATTTCCTTAAGACATTTTTGTAAGGACTATAGCTATTTTACTTCAACTTTGAAAGCCTAATCTTAAATTATATTTTTATTGTTCTTTAGGCAAAAAATAGAAACTGTAGAACAGGAAAAAGCTGCAGTTCAGAAGATGGTTGAAAATTTAAAGAAACAGGTAAGAAAATCCTTTAGTGGAGGCAGAGAAGTGTTATCTCTAAAACTATACTTAGGAAATACTAGCTCAAGTCCTTGTATAGTTTGAAATAATGGTAGATACTTCTTTTCTCTCCCCATAATTAAAAGCAGAAAGTTAAAGATACAATTTCACAGATATAGAATACCAACTAGTGTTATTTCTCAGAATTATGATTTCTTCAGATAGCTTGTACCATTCAATGTTTAATTTGTATAATCTTACCATACATAGTTGTAGAAGGCAAGGACATTTACAAATCTGTCTAAAACAGTCAAAAGGCAAGAACATACTGCAAAAAAAATTTTTTTTCAGTACTTGAAATAGATAAGGTGTTAACATCCAAGATACTTAGTACTCTTTACAAAGAAATGGCAAAACCCAGTTGACAAATAGGCAATCTATATAAATAGTCAAGTTACAGAGAAAAAAAAGGAATAAATATACAACATATAAAAAGGTAGTGAACCTCCTTAGTCATTAGGAAAGTACAAATTAAATTTTTTTTTTCATGTATTGAATTAGCAAATATTAAGTATCTACTATTAAAATAGGGCATGAGGAAATGAGTGTGCTCATACCTTGCTTGTTGACAGAATTATACATTGGTCGTACTATGCAGACAACATTTTAGGGAAATCTATCAAAACAGGCATGCATATGTATACTTCTAATCTAACAACTCACTTCTAGAAAAATAATTCTGAATAGAAAAATGCTACCATGTGTAAATGGATTTTCCAAAAGATCATTTTCTTCATTATTAAAATAAATAATGTTAACCAACCTACATGACTATCAGTGCAGGGATAGATAAATGCATTAAACGTTCCACAAGGAACATCCTATAGCCACTCAAAAACATGGCATGTGGTGGTTTCTGAACACATTGACTTGGAAAGATAAGAGTCTGTAAGATATTATAAGTAGGAATAGCAGACTGTTCAGACATGAAGTGATCCAATTTTCTGCTAAAAAGAAAAAAACTATGCATATATGGATTTTGTATATGCGCAGAAAATGACCTGGAAGAACGTGAATTCAGATATGAACAATGGGTCCCCCTGTGGAGTGGGAAGAGACTGAGGGTCTCACTGCTTCACACTTCTGAGTTGACTGAATTTGTAACAATGACTATGTATTTATTCTGTTATTTTATACACACACACACACACACATATTTAAAATTGTACCTACATTGAAAAGAAAATAGCAATTAGTCTCTAAATCAACCTTTTTTGGGGGGAGAAGGTAGGATAATAGTTTTTAAAACTTATGTCAACTTTAGATTGCAGAATTAAAAATAAAAAACCAACAATTGGACTTGGAAAATACAGAACTTAGCCAAAAGAACTCTCAAAATCAGGAAGAACTGCAAGAACTTAATCAACATCTGGCAGAAATGCTATACCAGAAGGAAAAAGAGCCTGGAAATGGTACATTCGAGGAATGGAAACAAGAAAAGTCTCATCTCAAAGAAGAACTGGAACATTATAAAGAGCGGGTATGGTCTATAGCCATCCTACAGCTTAAAAAAAGAAAAAACAAGAAATATAAGAGATGTTCATATTAAATGTCTGACCTATAACCGTAAATAATTAAAACAGTGAGGTACTGGCATGTGAATAGCCAAATAGATAAGTAGAGCAGAAAGTCCAGAATTAAATTTAACTGCAAATGTAAGTTTAGTGTATGACAAAGGCTTCTTTTTTGGGGGAGAGGTGTTTTTTGTTTTTTTTTTTCTATAGGGTGCTTGTGCTCACCAGACAGAGAGAGAGAGACATACAGACAGAAAGCGAGAAATCATCCCCCAGGGGGGATGGTCACGCCGCAATCTCCTTCTCCTCCATTCTCCTCTTGGGATCTTGGGCACGCACACACACATGCCTGGCATGAGTTTTAAGCCATCAGGTCCAGGACATGAACCACGGTCGACTACGTGGGAGTCCAGCGACATAGCCATTACGCTAACTGCTGGTCCCACAGAGGCTTCTTTGGGCCAGCCCATAGCACAGTGGATTAGGTGGCTGGATCACATATAACCATCTGTGGGGTATGAGTTGCATACCCAGTGGCTTGAAAAACATGCCAGGCACATGTGCATGCATGCCCAAAATCCCCAAAAGAAGGTGAAATGGAGGATTGTAGCATTAGCATTCTCCTCAGGGTGCTTTCTCTCTCTCTTTTCTCTCTTATCTGTCTCTTTTTATCAAGTTCATGTACTCTCTGGCAAAAATATTTATAAAATTAAAATAAGAAAGCCTTTTCAAACTACCAGAGTAGAGATGGACCTTTTAATAAATGGCACCTGGACAGCGAGGTAGACATTTGGAGTAGATGAAATTAGATCCATATTTCATACCATACACAGGATAGACTCTAGATTTGGAGTCTAAACAAAATGAAACTGTACAAGTACTAGGAGAAAGCATGGATGAATTTGTCTTTTACCTTGGTGTAAAGAAAGGCTGTCTTGGGGATCAGCAGTTAGCATAATGGCTATGTCGCTGGACTCCCATGTAGTCGACTGCAGTTCAAGTCCTGGACCCGGAGGCTTAAACTCATGCCAGGCATGTGTGCGTGCCCAAGATCTCAAGAGGAGAAAGGAGAAGGGATTGCAGTGTGGCCATCCGCCTGGGGGGGTGATTCCTCCCTCTCTCTCTCTCTCTCTCTCTCTCTCTGTGTGTCTTTCTGGCGATCGCATGCACCGTATAGCAAAAACCTCTCCAAAAAAAGAAAGACTGTCTACACTGGGCATACATGCCCAAAAATCCAGGAGGAGAATGGAGGAGAGGGATTTGCAGCATGGCCATCCCCTCTCAGGGATGATTTCTCACTTTCCTTCTCACTGTCTCCGATTAGTGTGTGTGTTCAACAAAAAAGGAAAAAGAAAATAGGAAAAGCAATTACACTTTAAAAAGTTTTGCATGTGAAAAAAAAAAGGAAAAGAAAAAGAAATAAACAAAACACATCTGATAAACTGGGAGACAGTATTTACAATAGACCATAGAGTATAGAACTAATACCCCTTCTAATGAAGACCTCTTGGCTAGCTGCAGTGATACAGCAGCGAACAACACTCCACAATGGCGAAGCCATTTAGAAGGATACAGAGTTCCTGCCCCACGGTCTCCCTGTGCTCACTGGGCAAAGGCCCAGATCCAGGCTGGGGGATGCTGGGGGATGCTGGGGATAGACCACGTACATGGACCCATCAGGGGTGCCTATCTCTTGTCTCATGGAAGAAATAAATAAAGTTTTAAAATCAAATCAGTAAACAAATGGAGAAGAAACAACAGTTCCTATTGATAGTAGAATTCCAATTAATAAATGTAGAAAAAAAGATAAAATAGATAAAACAGATCATCATCCTTAGGCAAATACTCTTTTATTAATTGTACACAAAATCCACTGAGATGCTAAAATTAAGAAGCAGAAGTTGGAAGAGAAACAGGACTTGCCTAGTGTCACAGCATCTCCCCCAAAAGAAAGAGAGAAACTTTATAGTGAAGAAATGTGCAAAACCACATTAGAAATCATATTCATGCCACTGAAGTGGAAAGTTTTTTTAAAAAACAGTTTTGGTTAGTTCCATTGAGTGTAAGGCAAATGGCCGTAACACAGTGTCTCATTGAATTCGTATTATTATTTCCTTAATATTGTCTTTTGTGACTCTGGTAAATTTCCCCAGCCTAATTGAATATGTCTATTATTTGACTTTTTTTTTTTCTCTCTCTCTTAGTCTTCCACTTTAGTGTCTTCTCTGGAGGCAGAACTTTCTGAAGTTAAAATACAGACTCATATTGTGGAACAGGAAAATCTCCTTCTCAAAGATGAACTGGAGAAAATGAAACAAGTAAGGCTGTGTGCTCCTCAGAGGGTCATAGGACAGGCCGTACCCGACGGGCTGTGTTTCTGACCGCCAGTTGTCCTTTGTGCTGGGTCCTGCCAGCTAGCTTGTTGCTTAGTAGAGTTGAGGATTTAAAGTACAAATCTGTCAAGATAAACAAATGAAACAGAATACACACACACAACCCTAAAGTATAAGTCAGGCCAGCCCTCTGGCCTGGTAGGTAAGGGAGCCAGATCATGGCTAACTTCACAGTTCAAATCCTAGCTCCAGTGGCTTCAAAAACATGCCAGGTGAGCATGTGTGTGTAACCCAAATCCCAAAAGAATGGAGAAATGCTGGAGGAGAAGAGATTGAAGCATGACCCTGCCCTATTAGGGGGTAGTTAGGGGGTGCTCTCTCCCTCTCCTCTCTTCCCCCGTCTGTCTCTGACAAGGACATATGCCCTCTGGCTAAGTTTTGGAAGGGATGTACTAGGTAGTGTGGAAGCACTCATCTTGCTGATTCTCCGTGTGCTGCTCTAATTTTAGAACTACGTTACAGTTAGACTGTACGATTCTATTACTGTAAACAAATCCTAACCACTTCAGTTTGAGGGATTTATTGTTCTACTTTCTCCCAGCCAGGTAATAAAGTAACGTAAGTCTGTGTAAGGAGAGTTTCTTGCGCATAATATTTATAACCCCATTCACTCTGATTGGTGAAACCTAAAGGGAGCTGTTCCCTCTGGTGCCTGTTTCTTTTAGTAACTACGAGGCATCTCTTTCAGGCAAGAGAGTGAATTCTAGAGCATCATCAGAGCTGCATCTCACGAGTCTGGCTTTCAGTAGCCCTCAGAGTTTCAAAGAAAGGCTTAATTTTAAGTAGAAAAGACAGTTTATCTTTTAAAAAATGTTCTAGACATTCTCCTATTCTCCTATTTTATTCTTATTAATTTTCCATTTTTTTTTTTTTTTTGTGGAGAGGTTTTTATTACAGGGCATGTGCACTCACCAAAAAGACAGAAAGACAGACAGAAAGCGAGAAAGCACCCCGCAGAGGGGGTGGTCACACCACAGTCCCTTCTCCCCCATTCTCCTCTCAGGATCTTAGACATGCACTCACCTGGCATGAGTTTAAGACACTGGGTCCAGGACTCGAACCCCAGTTGACTACATGGGAATCAGGAATCCTTCAGTGAGAATAATTCTGGTATATCTAGGAGAATTTAGTCATTTCATTCTGTTTGTTTCAGTAACAGATTATTATTAAGGCACTCTGAGATTATAAAATTCTTTTAGGAGTAAGTTATTATGAGGCCATCACTCGACATGTTTTTATTGTGTGTTTTTTTACAGAGGTGTTGGTATTAACAGTGAGTGGAAAAAGTGAGCCCTGTTTGGTAGGAAGTTGTTCCATCAGGTACCTGGACTCTTGGATTGCAGAGCACTCTAGTGTCAGACTGTGTTGCTGTCCTTTAGCTTGGGCCTACCAGCCACGAGTCACTCTGTATATCATAGTTTGTGTTTCACAAAGCAGTTTTGCGTGTATTATCTATTGCACTGAAAAACACCCGCAGCAGAAACACATACTGGTCTGCCAATACCCAAAATGATATAATGCTTTTTGGGTGTCTGGGAGTGGGAAGACAGGACAGTGGGTAAGGGAGAAGGTCCTTTAACCAATGTCCACATACTTTAAAATACATTTTTCTGTATCCTTTTGACTTGTTCGGATTTGTAAGGTATGCTTTATTTGTTGCCAATTGAAGATGAGATTCAACTATTTGTCTATTTGTCCTATTATCCCTAAAGCTGAATGTAAAAGAACTTCAGATAAGAAGTAGAAAAATAGCCATAAAAATCATTATAATAATAAAAAACAACTAAGACCTTGAAAGCTTGGGCCAACTTCGTGGCATGGTGGTTAAGGCAGCCAGATTCCACATGACCAACTGCATGGTTTGGGTCCCAGACCTGGTTGTTTGAGAAACATACCAAACACATGTGCATACCCAAAATTGCAAAAGGAGGGAGAGACCGGGGAGAAGGGCTTGTTGTGTGGCCATGCTTTATGGAGGGTGCTTTTTCCTTCTTGTCTCTTTCAGGCCAGCACACACACCCTCTAGCAAAACAAATTTAAAAGCCAAGTGAAATGATGAAAATTATAAATTTTCAATGGGAAGGAAAGTTAAGGAGTGTAAGAAACAGCCAGCCTCTTTGAGGTGGTTCTCAACAGAGTTGGGGGTAGGAGTGATGACCATTCCTTCCTCAGGGCATTTAGCAACATCTGGGACATTTTTGGTTTTCCCAACTGGGCAGATGGTGCTGGTGTTACTGGTGTATAGTGAGTAAAGCCAAAGACATTGTGAAGCATCCACAGTGTATAGGTTGGCCTCCCACAGCAAAGGGTTACCTGGCCCAAAATGTCAATAGTCCCAATGTGGATACTGAAAAGGAATAAAAACAGCCTTTGGTTTGTTTTAACTCTGTAAAGTGAAAAGGAGGAAGCCATACAGTATATTCACACCAGCGACATTTTATGGGCAAGTCAACTTAGACTTTTTTTTTTTAAGAAAGATTTTTACTATGAGGTGCATGCACGCACCAGAGACACAGAGAGAGACAGAGGGCCAGAAAGCAAGAAATCTTCCCTGGGGGTATGGCCAGACCACAATCCCTTCTCTTCCATTCTCCCCTCAGGATTTTGGGTATACACACACACACACACACACACACACACACACACACGCCTGGCGTGAATTTCAAGCCATCAGGTACGGGACTCAAGCCATGGTTGGCCATGTAGGAGTCCAGTGATATAACCATTATGCCATCTGCTGGTCCCCAACTTAGACATCTTCTAAAGAGAAGGGGGCATGGAATGAGCTGAAAACACCAATTGTTTTATCTTTAAACTTGGTCTTGTGTCAATACATTGTTTGCAGTCTATGTGAGTCCTTTAACCTCAACTGAGATTCTCTGGAGAAAGATTTTTCTAGTTTATTAAGCAGGAGGGAAGAGTGTTAGGCCCTCTGCACACAAGTTAGAGTGGTAACAGGGTGGTAGTTTGTTAGTGTACCCTGAAGGTAACATGGAAAGCCAGGGCCATTATTTAACACCATCTAGTTGAGTCTTTCAGAGCAGTCATTTCAGCAGCCAACTAGAGAGCAAGGAGAAGCCAGCAGGGAACATTTTGTTAAAGTTAATTATAGTCCCCTAAAGTTTATATGTCCTCTGAAATCTCTGCAGATAGGGAAATAGCAGGGGCCATCAAAAGGCCCTGTTTATAAATACCTCTATAAATATAGCCGTGAGATGTGAAGGGAGGGCTCATGTGTTTATCTCTTACAGCGGCACAGATGTCCTGATCTCTCTGAGTTCCAGCGAAAAATTTCTAGTGTTCTAAGCTACAACGAAAAACTGCTGAAAGAAAAAGAAGCTCTGAGTGAAGAATTAAATAGCTGTGTTGACAAGGTAGTAAAAATAATAAGACTTTACTATCATCATTCAAGGAGCATTTCTCTGTGGATAGTGAGTGGCACATGGCCCTCACATGTTAGCCTGATTACTACGGGGTCTCCTGCAGCAGCCTTTCCAGGGTCTTGTGTGATGGCAGAGCTCCCAAAGTCTAAACAGGAGTCTCGATTAGCTGTTTAATAATTACATTATTAAGTACAATGATATATATCACTATTCTATATATGTAACATAAACACAAGTATTCTTTTTAATAACCTGAGATCTATTTGATAGACACACACCTTTTTCTAATACATTTTTCTTAGTAGATTCAGAAACACATGCTTTTTTTTTTCTCACCTGCCTGGATGGGTATTCTGTATTTGCCCATTGTGATACACTCTTGAGATTTCTGATTCTGGCCTTCCATCTCCCACCTTCACATCATGAAAGCAAAATGGAAAATCCCCCAAATGAAGTAACTACTCAAAATCAGAGGTGGTGGGACCAGCAGATGGTGTCATGGTTACGTTGTCACTGGACTCCCATGCGGTCAACTTTGGTTCCAGTCCTGGACTTGGCGGCTTAAAATGCATGCCGAGCATGTGTGCATGCATGCCCAAGAGCCTGGAAAGAGAGTAGAGGAGAGGGGATTGCAGCATGGCCATCTCCCCTTGGGGTGGGGGGGAGGGAGGTGATGCCCCACTTTCTCTCTCTCTCTCTCTGTCTCTCTGGTGAGTACCCACATGCCCTCTAACAAAAATCTCTCTAAAAAAATCAAAACAAAATCAGAGGTGGAAAGAAGTCAGGAAAACCACTACTTTAGTTTCCCCAAAAAAACAGGTGGTTCTTATTTTGACCATATAAGTGGAAGCATGTAGATTATGGATAGGTGTGTTTGCCAAAATACCCTCTTACCGATTTTCTCTTCCTGAAACAGTTGGCAAAATCAAGTCTTTTAGAGCACAGAATTGCTACAATGAAGCAGGAGCAGAAGTCTTGGGAACACCAGAGTGAGAGCTTAAAGTCACAACTGGCGGCTTCCCAGGAAAAGGTATGTGCACAGTTCTGGTTTCATCTTCCCAGTTAGTGCTATGCTGTATCTTCCAGTAGAAATCTCTGTGGAGGTCCAGCCACAGTGGCACATGCTGCTAAGACACTATGTTCTGCAGGTGGGTAGAACCACATGGGGGAGATTGATTCTTGGTCCAGCCTCCAGGCTAGGCATAAAGGCATACACCTCAAAATCAGCCACTCAGGGAGGCTGTGGCAGGGGTAGCCTCCAGGCCAGGCACAGAGGCATACACCTCTAAATCAGCCACTCAGGGAGGCTGTGGCAGGAGGATGGCTACACAGTGAGACCCCATCTTTAAAAAAAAAAAAAAGAAAAGAAAGAAAGAAAGAAAGAAAAGAAAAGAAAAGAAAAGAAAAGAAAAGAAAAGAAAAAGAAATACCAGTGTAAAGAATGTTCCAGAGGGGGCCAATAGGTGGCGTGATGGTTAGGGTCACTGGACTCCCACATGGCTAACTGCGGTCTGAATCTTGGACCTGGCAGCTCTCTCTCTTTCTCACTCACTCACTGTCCCTCTCTGGTCTAATTAACTAAATAAATAAATGATTATTTAAAAAATAATAAAAAATCATGTTCTAGGGGGCCAGCAGGTGACATGGAGGTTAAGGCAATTGGATCCCACATAACTGACTTCACACTTCTTGTTCCGAACCCAGAGGCTTCCAAATCTCATGGGGCACTTGTGTGCATATGCCGCCCAAAATCCCGAGAAGAGAATGGAGAAGGGATTACACTATGACCATCACCCCCTGGGGAGTGATGTCTCACTTTCTCAGTCTCTTTCTGGCAAGCACACAAACTCTATAGCAAAAAACTAACAAATATATATATATATATATACACACACACACACACATATATACATACATACATACACAACAGGCGGAAGTGCCCTAAGAGGACTAAGGGCGATTCAGTTTGACCAGTATTTGACATAAGTTCCAGTATGGTAGAAGTAATAGATCTCTCAAAGCTGATTAATTGCAAGATTACTTATGAAAGCTAGAGAATCTTCTATAGAAATGACTGTTCCTAATTCAGAAATAGGATTTCTTTTTTCTTTTAATTTTAATTTATTTTATACATTCACTGACTATACATCACTACGGCCTATGAAGTGAATTTACCCAGCATGAAGACATGTCACACCAGTCCAGTTGAAGGTATCATATGCATTATCATCAACAGATAATCATCCATTTCTGTGTCCCATGAATGTCTTGCCTCTTTATTTTCTCTATGATTCCTCCTCTCACTCTCCCCCTTCTCCCACTCTCTTCCCATATGCTCTGCAGTATCTGCAGCCATTTTCCATGCTTCTATATCCTCTGATCTTTCAGTTTCCTAGAAATAGGGTTTCTAAGACAGGTGCATGCCTTATTATAGGTAAGTATCTCTATTAACATTCTTTTTACAAATTTATTTTAAATAGAACTATATATGAGATAGTACTGTCAAATAGGATTCTACAAGTATGTATCTTTATTTTTAATTAAGAAGTCCTTCACAAACCAACACAACAGGCCCTAAAACATAGGTTTTACAAAATTCAGTGAAACCGCCTTTTATGCTGCTAGGTGGCTCTCACTGGTTCTGTAAGATCTCACCTGGTAATCTACCACATGACCATGTCAGCAATACCTTGCCCCAGCCATAGATCATTCTTGTTCTAAATACAATTTTTTTTTGAGAGGTTTTTGCTATAGGGTGCTTGCGCTTGCCAGAAAGACAGAGAGAGACAGAGAGACAGAAAGCTAGAAATCACTCCCCAGGGGGGATGGCCACGCCGCAATCCCTTCTCCTCCATTCTCCTCTCAGGATCTTGAGCACACATGCACACGCGCCCAGCATGAGTTTAAGCCACCAGGTCTGAGACTCGAACTTTGGTCGACTACATGGGAGTTCAGTGACATAGCCATTATGCTAACTGCTAGTCCCTGTCCTAAATACAGTGTAACATACTATAATATTCTGGTTTCCACTGAGCTACTAAAAAGAGACTTGAATATAATAAACAGAAATAGAAGGGACCTTGGAGTTCTCTTGTCCCTTTTCGTTTATTCCTGGACATTCTAGGGGCGAGACCATGAGTGTAGCATTGTAAGACTGTTCTCGTGATGCAGGTTCAGAATTTAGAAGATACCCTGCAGAATGTAAACCTGCAAATGTCCCTGATTACATCTGACCTGCGAGTGACTTTTTTTTGAGGCTTTAAAACAAGAAGTGATGTCTTTACATAAGCAGCTTCAGAATACTGGTGAAAAGGTAATTGCTTTTCTTTTCTTTATTAAGCTATAAGTTATTTACAGTAATGTGTGCCTATCTTAAGTGTACAACTTGATTATTTTTGTATGTTATCTCTATATACAAATATCCAAGATAGTCTACATATTTCTGTTTGTATATGTGTTCATGTAACTACCACCTAGTACCACAGGATATTCTAGCACCCAGCAGGCTCTCCAAATGAACCACTTTTGTACTCTCTGCCACTGGAGGTTAGGAATATTTGTTTCTGAACTTCATCTAAGCGAAGCCATAGTCATACCAAAGAAAGTAATATTTTTGTATTGAGCAAGTCAGAAGGCCATGACTGAGTTAAGTTTTATAGTAATAAAACTAAAACATTTTCCTGGGAACCAGCAGTTAGCATAATGGCTATGTCGCTGGACTCCCACGTAGTCGACCGTGGTTCGCGTCCCAGACCCCGTGGCTTAAAACTCATGCCGGGCGCGTGTGTGTGCGTGCCCAAGATCCCGAGAGGAGAATGGAGGAGATGGGATTGTGGTGTGACCATCCCCCCTGTGGGGGGTGATTTCTCGCTTTCGGTCTCTCTGTCTCTCTCTGTCTGTCTGGCAAGCGCACGTGCCCTATAGCAAAAAAACCTCTCAAAAAAAGAAAAAAACTAAACATTTTTCTAAATGATAGAAGCATTTATCTGACCACAAAAAATTTAGGTAAAACATGGCAAGAAATTAATCTAGGAACACACATACACAGGTTGCAAAAATGTAAAATCTGCTGAAAAGGAAATTATGGCATAAAACAATAATGCTGAATTTCAGGAGGTAATTCATTACTACCCAAATGGATTGTTAAGACATCAGGAAGTGTAGGAAGAGCTTGTTCAAATGTTGCTAGCTGACGTATTGTGGGGGTGGTGTAAAAAGTGTGTCTCATTTTAATATGTCACTGTGCTGCTCAATTCATGTGCAAATAAAGTTTTTTTTGAGAGGTTTTTGTTATAGGGCACATGTGCTTGCCAGACAGACAGAGAGATAAAAAGGGAGAAATCACCCCCCGGGAGGATGGCCACACCGCAGTCCCTTCTCCTCCATTTTCCTCTCGGGATCTTGGGCACACATGCACATGCACCTGGCGTGAGTTTAAGCCACCGGATCCAGGACGTGAACTGCAGTCAACTACATGGGAGTCCAGCGACATAGCCATTACACTAACTGCTGGTCCCCATGTGCAAATAAATTAAGCATAATGTTATGGAAGTATATTTTAGGGTAGATTGAGATTTTGTCCTATAATAAAAGTATGCACTAATTTACATATTTAATTTGTTAGTGATAATTTTTTTTCCACAGTGATTTTTTTTTTTCTTGGAGAGGTTTTTGCTATAGGGCACGTGCACTCACCAGACAGAGAGAGACAGATAGACAGAAAGCAAGAAATCACCCCCTATCCATCCTGGAGGAGAAGGGATGGCCACGTTGCAATCCCTTCTCCTCCATTCTCCTCTCGGGATCTTGGGCACGCATGCACACATGCCCGGCATGAGTTTTAAGCCACCAGGTCTGGGACTTGAACCATGGTCGACTACGTGGGAGTCCAGCAACATAACCGTTACACTAACTGCTGGTCCCTACAGTGATTTTTTTTTTTAATAATATAATGAGTGGGGGCCAGCAGGTGGCATAGGGGTTAAGGCGCTGGACTCCCACATGGCTGGCTGACCATGGTTCAAGTCCCTGACCTGGTGGCCTTGCTTTCTCACTTTCTCTCTCTCCCTCTCATGCACATGTCCTGTAACAAATTGAAAAACAGTAATAATAATAAATCAAAATAATTATTTTTTTATAAAAAGATAAGTATTTCCATTTTTAAAATATTACTGCTGGGGTCCAGCAAGTGACACAGTGGTTAAGGCTCTGGACTCCCACATGGTCAACTGTGGTTTGAGTCCTGGACTCAGAAGCTTGAAACATGCCGGGCACATGTGAATGTATGCCCAAAATCTTGAGAGGAAAATGGAGGAGAAGGGGTTGCCGTGTGGCCATCCCTTCTGGGGAAAGGGGGTGATTTCTCACTTTCTGTCTCTCTCGGATGAGTGCCCACTCCCTGCAGCAAAAAATATCTCAAAAAAAAAAAAAATTACTCCTGAGCTGATATCTTTCTCAAAATGAGTTTGCACCTTTTTAAATTTTTTTGTTTGACTTAAAAGGTAAGAGGCTTATCTAGTTGTATTACCTTTTATATTTTTAAAATCATTTCCAGGTTTCAAAAACATCAGTGGGTAATTTAAAGCATGTTTCTGAATTCAGGCCTCAAGTATGTGGACAATATGTGCTTTGGAGTCTAAAAAAGGATATGATTGCATATGTGCAAATGAAAGCAGAGCTTAGCTTGTGAAAGCTTTTAAGTAGGCAGTACATTTCAGAGTTCCCTTTGTGTCCTCTTTTAATTAAGAGCATTATCTGAGTTCAGAGAAGACTTCATAAAAACAAGGCAGTTTTTTAAAAAATTGGCTAGAGTGCACGCACTCTCCAGAGAGAGAGAGATCAAAATTGGAAAAGCACCTCCCAGGAGAGATGGCCGCGCTGTAATCCCTCCGCCGTTGCCCTCTCAGGATTTGGGTATTGATATACACATGCCAGGCATTTTTTTTTTCAGGCTAACTATACAGTCGGCCACGTGGGGTCCAGCCACCCAACCACCATGCCACTGGCCAGAAACAGCAATTTTTAAACTTTTTTTTTTTTCAGGCTACTGGGCCCAAGGCTTGAACTGTACAGTCGGCCACGTGGGGTCCAGCCACCCAACCACCATGCCACTGGCCAGAAACAGCAATTTTTAAACTTCCATTCTCTAGGCAGTTGGGTCCTAAACGGAACTGGGACTTGCTCTACGATCATACTTTCTAGTAAACTTGACAGGGCTGTTTTACCAAAGATCATTTTAAACAGAGAATTTATAAACTATTTTTTATCAAACTCCAAAAATACTGTTTTATTCATATCTGTCTCTATACACACACATACTCTCATAAGAAGACATAGGTGAAGGTTGAAAGACAGTAAGAATTGTTGTCATTGAGTAAATAGGACACCTTTCTCAAAACAAATTACCCATCGGCTTGTTTTTAAGACTTAATTCTGCAATTCTCTCTTAAGAACTGGTCCCCAGAAGTAACCACCCATCCATCAGGGTTCCAAAACCAGCAGAAAAGACTGTCCTGGGATAAGCTGGATCACCAGATGAATGAGGAACAGCAGCTGCTTTGGCAGGAGAATGAGAGACTGCAAACTGTCGTACAAAACACCAAAGCAGAACTTGCGCACTCCCTGGAGAAGGTAACTCAGGGTTGCACGTGGTGGCGTATGTTTGAAAATGAATGTTTGACATGATTGGAATTGTTCATTTTACATAAGCAGTTTTATATTAAAATATATTTGTGGGAAACCAGCAGGTGGCATGGAGGTTGAGGCAGCTTGATTCCACATGGCAGACTAGTGGCTTGGGAAACATGCTGGGTATGCGTGTGTATACATGCCCAGAATGCCAAGGAGGGAGGAGAAGGGATTGTGGAGTAGCCATCCTCCCGGGGAGTGATTTCTTACTTTCCTACTCCCTCTCAACCTCTCTGGTGAGCTCACATGTCCTATACCAACAATATTAATATCAATAATAATAATGATAATAAAAATAAAATAAATAATTTGAAAACATATGTTAATATCTATTTGTGATTTTTAACCCTTACATTTGAAACAGAGACTCATGAACATTTTATATATATATGTATATATGCATTTATATTTTATATTTTTATTTAATATTACATATATATTTTTTTTTTCTTTTTTTGCGTTAGGGTGTGTGTGCTCACTGGAGAGAGAAATAGACAGTGAGAGGCAAAGTAAGAAATCACCCCCTGGGTGGGTGGCCACATCGCAATCCCTTTTCCTCCATTCTCTTCCCAGGATCTTGGGCACACCTGCACATGCTCACAGTGTGAGTTTCAAGCCACCAGATCTGGGACTCAAACCACAGTCAGCTATGTGAAAGTCCAGTGATATAACCTCTACACCATCTGCTGAACAACCCCCCCAAACATTATATTAACTATATATTCTTCATTGAAATTTGCTGACTATATTGACCAAGACTAGTAGCAAAAAACAACAAAACAAGACAGATCTCACAACTAACTCTTTGTTAGAGAAGAGGGTGCCCCTGCTGAAAGACTCAGCATTTCAAGGTTAGAGTGGTCTGTAAAGGTCATCTTCTCCAACCACCAACCTGATGCTTGAATTCTTTACCTCTGCCACCTAGTGGGACAATAATAGGTAACCTGAGCTTCAGTCCCTGTTTTAAGGGGAACTCCAAGAGTCACAGGTGTCCATGTAGAACACTGCTCTGTGCTGCAGCTGTCACTGTAGTCATGGACTTAGTGGCTGTCAATGCACTGCGTCATTTCAGGCTCACGGTTCAATACAGAGCAGGCAGGACTGCCACCTCCCGATCCTGAAAGTTATACTCATGCCCCGCAGAATGCCTAGGACTTCTGTGTCTCTTTTCTGGGCAGCCACATCACACACACTGTGTAGACCCACAAGTCCCCTCGTTCCTGTTTTGTCCTTAAGAATGTCGAGTTGACACGGGGCATAATGTTTACATCACTGGACTCACGTAGTCAACCTCAGTTCGAGCCCCGGACCCAGTGGCTTTAAACTCTTGCCAGACGCATGTGTGTGAATGCTCAAAATCCCAAGAGGAGAATGGAGATGGGATTGCAGCATGGCCATTCCCCCCAGGGGGTGGTTTCTGGCTTTCTGTCTCTCTCTATGGCAAGTCCACCCACCCTATAGGAAAAATCTCTCTGGGAAAGAAAAAAAAAAAAAAAAGGAAAATGAAAGAAAGAAGAGAAAAGAAAAGGATCTTTTGAAATCCAGGAAAGTAGGTTTCAAGAATTGGCAGACTTGACTGAAAAAGCGTTTTCCAGACAACAGAACCCACATGCTAAATGAAACATTTGCTGTGTTTATTGTTTGTTTTTCTTGGATGGATGACTAGATTAGCATGTCTTCCTCTTACACTTATTCTTGTTAGGTTCGCCAGCTGGAATCCAACCTTCTTCCTCCCAAGCACCAAAAACATCTAAATCCATCAGGTACTGTGAAACCCACAGAGCAGGAAAAGTTGAGTTTAAAGAGAGAGTGTGAACAGTTTCAGAAGGAGCGCTCGCCTGCCAATAGGAAGGTGAGTTTTGGGGAGTCCTGACGGCAGGTGTCCCTCAGTGCGTTTCTTCCATTCGTGCTTCTGAGGAAATTTTACGACGGCCTACTCTGCTTCTTATATCTCCATATGCTTTTGTAATCTCGTCAGAATGTATCATTTTCCTTCTGCTTGAATAATGGTTGGAAAAAGAGCCATTTACTTTAAACTTTCTTAAAGCTGACAGTTCGCCATCTTGATCAATATTACAAACTTCTCTATAAGTTAGTAAAAAATATCTAGCCTTAGTATTAGAAACAATTCAACATGATCTGTATTAGTTCCCAGTTGCTGTGCAACAAATTGAAACAACAGTTTGTTGCCTCATGGTTTCCATGGGTCGGGAATTCACAGGCAGCTTGGCTGGCGGTTGGCTCTGGGCAGTACTGAGGTGGCGGTCCAGATGTCGGCTGGCACTGCAGTTATCTGAAGACTTCACTGGGACAGGAGGGTCACTTTCCAAGCTCACTCATGTAACCGTTAGCAGGAGGCTTCTGTTCCTTGCTGGCTGATTGCCCGAGATGTCAGCTCCTCACCAGCCGGGCTTTTTCAGGGAGTGACAGCTGGCTTTCTCCAGAGTGAAGAGAGAGACAGACAGACAGCAAGATCAAAAGACCAAGACAGAAGCTGTAGTGCCTTTTATAACCTGAGCTCAGAGAGGATGCACCTTTATCTCTGCTGTGCCCTGTTCACCCTGGTTAATGTGGGAGAGCCTGTACGAGGATGTGGATAGTGAGAGGTGTGGTTGTTGGGCCCACCGTGGAGGCTGTTTGCCTCCCAGACGGTCTGACCTCTGTAGTGAAATTCACCTTACTTCCTATCCTTCATCTCATGACGTTAGAGTTCTAGACGGGTTATTCTGGAAGCGGGGTTATCGTTATTACTTGTTTTTATTTCTTTTTCTAAATTGAACCTCAGTTTTAACTATTACCTTCCTCTTCGTAAAAATATGATTTGCGGGGCCAGCAGGTAATGTGGTGGTTAAGGCTCTGGACTCCCACATGGCTGACTAGGGTTTGAATCCTGGACCCATCGGCTTGAAACTCATGCCAGACATAGCAAAACTCACGCATGCGTGCCCAAAATCCTAGGAGGAGAATGGAGGAGAAGGGATTGCAGTGTAGCCATCCACCCTAGGGAGCGATTTCTCACTTTCCTTCTCACGGTCTTTCTCTGTCGCTCCAGCAAATGCACACACCCTATGGCAAAAACCTTTTAAAACTTTAAGATTTGTTTAGAAATCTGTGAAGAATGAACAATAAGACTTTTGTTATTAAGATATTCATACATTTTGTAAAATGATGGGGCTAGCCCTGTAGACTAGTGGTTAAAAGTGGCAGAACCCACATGGCTGACTACACAGTTTGAATCCCTTCCCTGGTAACTTGAAAAACACGCTGGGTATACGTGTGTGCCCAAGATCACAGTGGGATGAGGAACGGAGGAGAAGGGATTGTGCATTCCCTATGGGGAGTGCTTTTTCCTCTCCCTGTCTGTCTCTTTCTCTGATAAGCAAACACACCCTCTGGCAGCAACAAAAATTGGGTAAGTAATCATAACCGTTTGCAGTATAGAAGGCTGGTTGTGCGCTAAAGCTAAAAGATCATTTAATTGCAGGTACATTCAAGTAAACTCTTCATAAAGAGAGTGGGTTTCATTCAGCTGCTTACCAAGGAAAGTCTTATGAAAGGTTTCAAAATAACTGTAAATTTAAAGTGGACCTGGAAAAATGACACTTCCGTTTAACAAGTTTTGCTGTTCTCCTCAGCTCTTAGATAAAAGTAGAAATCGGGACCAACAGTTAGCATAATGGTTATATTGCTGGACTCCCATGTAGTAGACTGCGGTTTGCATCCCGGACCCGGTGGCTTAAAACTCACGCCGGGCGCATGTGCTTGTGTGCCCAAGATCCCGAGAGAATGGAGGAGAAGGGATTGCAGCGTGGCCATCCCCCCTGGGGGGTGATTTCTCACTTTCTGTCTCTCTGTCTCTCTCTGTCTGTCTGGCGAGCGCACACGCCCTATAGCAAAAACCTCTTTTAAAAAAAAAGGTAGAATTCAGCATTCTAGAATAATATCCTATATTTTCTGTTTAGCAATTTTCTGACTCCCAGGGTCCTCTAGACGATCAGATTCTTCTGTAGTAAAGAGAATTCCAATAATGAATGCTCCTTAAAATCTTCAAAATTGAGAAAGGAGTTGCATAAGTCAGGTGTGTATGCCTTCTCAATTTTAAGCCTTTGACTTTACCTTAAGATAGTGCTTTTTCCACTACAGATCCATAAGAGTTGGATCATAAAATTGAATTGGTAAAAAACCATCCTTTTTTAGTAAAATTTACTAGAAAATATCAGTGTCCATGGTAAAGATAACTATCATAAAAGATTTCTTT